CTGATGTGGGAGTCCTCTAATAGGCAACTTTGGCACAGGATTCCCTGTCAGTCTGAGACATTCTTAGAATGTTCAGTGTTCTGAGACTCTTCTCAGCCAATCTTCTTTCTCTTGTTCATTCACAGGTGTCAGACTAACACTGCAGTCTGAAAATCCTCCTGTTTCTTCCCCCTTTATTCTTCACAGATTTTTCTTCCAGTAACGTCTTTGCCTTCTAACCCCATTTTAACATCTGATTCTTGGAGGATTTAACCGTACTCTTTTTAAGCACTTTACAAATGTTAAGCCATATAATTCTCATTACAACTCTACAGGAAGGACAATCACTATTCCCCTTTACAGATGCTGCAACCAACTTTGTATTCAGATACAACGGTGTCAAGCAAAGATCACCCAACATTTTAGAGGAAGGTCCTGATTTGAACATAGTCCAGAGTCCATTCACTTAGTTACCTCACTACATTGCCTTTTTTTTTTTTTAAAGATTTATTTATTTATACAAGCACTGGGTACAGTCAGAAGCGCAGGAGAGTGAGAGAATTCACCAGAGCCAGAGTGGGGAACAGAACAGGCAGACTGACGAAGTACACTGCTGAGGGGAGCAGCGGGAGCGGCAGAAGAGGTCTGTCGCGCCATGTGGGACCCTCACCCGGCAGCCAGGGATTGAACCGGCGCTGCAGAGGCTGTGGGCAGCTTCGCAACCCAGTGCTCAACCTCTGCGCCACCAGGGAGGCCCTACATTGCCTTTTAATAGTTCATGGGCAGTAGTAATTTCAGAACACACTCATAATGCATGGTAAAATATATTTCAGTTGCTAAAGAGAGGAAATACAGATGAGCAAAGAAAACTCATTAATCAAAGTAATCATCAACTGGTCTGCATATAAACTTTCATTGACTGAGAGAACAAGGTAGTTTTAGAACATAGGAAACATGACATTAATGATTAATAATCAACAATACTTTAGATATTATATTTTATAATACCATCTGATATTATTTAATAAACACTGTATTTTACTAATAAACTTAAATTAATACTTAATAATTGACAAATTATAAACACTGTAATATTGTATACTTTCCTATATTTTTTAATATTTATATTTTTAGGCAAATACTAAAAATTTGAATTTTTAAAAATTGACATGCTTGTATTAAATGAAAAAACTGTTTCTTTAACTTACTTAACTGAGGTATGAGCTCATTTGTGTTTGAAGAATAGTTTATGTGCATATTTAGAAGAATAGTTTATGTGCATATGAAATTTTTGAAAGAATACAAAAGAAATATTAATAGCAGTTGCTTCAGGCATGCAAATTCTGGCAGGAGATGGGAAAGATATTTACTTTTCACTTCACAGCCTTCTGTACTTTGCATATTTTAGTCATAAGACTGCATTTCTTGGGCCTCCCTGGTGGCACAGCGGTTGAGCGCTGGGTTGAGAAGCTGCCCGCAGCCTCTGCTGCGCCAGTTCGATCCCCGGCTGCTCCCCGGCCACCGGAGGAGGGTCCCACATGGCGCGCAGACCTCTCCTGCCGCCCGCTGCTCCCCTCAGCAGTGTATTTCGGTCCTTCTGCCTGCTCTGCTCCCTGCTCTGGCTCTGGTGAATTCTCTCACCCTCCCGCGCTTCTGACTGTACCCAGTGCATGTATAAAAAAAAACAAAAACAAACAAACAAATAAATAAATAAAAAAAACATGCCTCTAAAAAAAAAAAAAAAAGACTGCATTTCTTGATAAAATAAAAAATTCCCTTAAAATAAAAATTTCATAATGAATTATCATATATGATTTACAGTTTAAAAAGACTATTCATGAACATAGCCCATTTTATCCTTTTACCAATCCTGTGAATATCTAAGAATATATTCATACTCCTTTATCAATGCAGCATATATAATAAAAGCATGGCATATCTATAATTATGATTTTCCTCATTCATTCATTCATTCATTCATTCAACAAATATATATATTGCGCATTCATGATATGCCAGGCACTGAAGTAACTTGGGCACTAAATCTTGCAGATTATATAGTAGTGAAGAAAATAGGAAGGTTTTCCATGTCATGAATCTTGAATTCTTATTGGAAAAGGAAAGAAATTAGGTAATAAACAATTAACAAGCATGTTGGTTTATATTATGAAGAGAATTACAGTGGACTAATATGATGGAAAATGACTGACAGGCCTCCTTAGGTGGGTGGTTAGGGAAGGTCTTTCTGAAATAAAATTAAGGTCAATGATAAGAAGTTTTGTGCAGACCAGTGGATAAGTAGTTAAGGACCACCTAAAACCAAATTTCTACTGCGGGAATGAATTTGACCTTCTAAAGGAACCACTGGAGTGTAAACAGAGTAGAGAGGAGTAGAGTAAGTGTTACATGAGTTAAGATCACATAAGACTTTTTAAGGAATTTGGATTTAATTTTAAGTGCAGTGGGAATTACTAGGAGAGTTTTAAGGAGAAATGACTTGCTCTTATCTGGAGAAGTAAGAGAGGAAACTATCATTGTAGTCTAGACAAGAGATGCTAGAACACTGGACTTGGACTGTGGAGATGGTCTGATTCAGCACATGTTTTGGAGCTAGAGTATATGGGACATGCTAATGGAGTACCTGAGAAGGGGGTGGAGAGAGAGAGCAATAGAGACTTAACATGTAAATTTTAAACTTGAGCAATCAGATTAGGCCTTGAATTTCTATACTGATAGAAGAGTATGAGAGGGAAAACCAGGATTTTAATTTTGGGTCATGTCTGAGCTGCCTGATATCTAAGGGGTATCCAGTTGAATATATGTCCAAAGAGCCTAGAAAGTCAGGACTGGAGTGACAGACATATTGATTGCTTTTAAAGCCAGGATGAGTTTATCTGTAGGAGTGTGTGACTTTGGGTGGGGGGCCAGTATAGCATCCCTGGGCCAACCAATGCTTGGAAGTCAAGTGGAGAAGAGCCAGCCAAGAAGTTCAGAAGGAGCAGCTAATGAAAAAAGAGGGAAAAAAAAAAAAAAAGCAAGTGAAATGCCAAAGAAGGCAAGACAATACACCACTTCAGGGAGGGTATTGTGACTGCAGAAAGCTGCTGGCAGTCAAGTAAAGTGGATACAAAGAACAACTGGTTTTGTTCATTTGCAGACTACTAGCATCCTTGAAAGGGTCTTTCAGTGGAGGATTGGGGAGGTCTGCTAGCTTTGTGGAGTGGGCTTAGGAAAGAATATGAGATGTGGAAGTATTTTCATTTCACTGATTAGTAGTTTTGCATTTGTATTTATTTACAATGCTTGAAAAGAAAATCACAAATGTTTGTTATAAATCTATATGTCTGCTATTTATAATAACCAAGTTAGGGAAACAATCTGTGTGCCCAAGTTCAGATGAGTGAAAAAAGGAAATGTGGTGTATATATACACAATAGAATCCTAGTCAGTTGTACAGAAAAAAAAGATGAAATTTGACATTTGCGATAACATGGATGAAACTGGAGGGGCAAAGTAAGTCAGGAGAAAGATAAATACGAAAGATTTCGTTTATATGTCAAATATAAAGAAACAAAATAAAGGAACGGTCAAAACAAAACCAACCAAACCCTAGAAACCTGATTAGAATTGAGGCTTCTCGAGGGAGAGGGAAGGGGATAGAGAGCAACAGGGAGAGAGGGCACAGTGGATTTTGTGGAGCATTATGTGTGGTATGGTGGTGGGTGTGGTGTGGTAACATAATCTGAAGAGGTGTGAACCTGCACCTTTGAATCATAGACAGTATTGTCAACCAGTGTTACCTCAATTAAAATCACCAAAGCCCCTATGTGTCTTGTTCCATTTTGAATTTCTGATCCAGCATCTCTGTAAGTGTAACAGGGTGGTCCCCAGGAAAGGGGGAGGTTCCAGGTTCCCTGTTCCACCCAAATGGAGGGTGGAGCTGAGCAGGAAGAGAAGAAGCTGCAGAGGAGACTGAGGAAGGAAGCGGGATGGAGAGCCAGGAGACCTGGAGGAGGCACATGGAGCCTAGAGACACGTGAAGAAACTGCGCTTGTCTTTTGATCATGGACTGGGTGACACAGATGTGGGTGAGACCTGTGGGGAGGAGACAATGGCAGCTTTTATTTTGATTTTGCTTTTGCTTTTTTCCTTCCGGGCTTGTCTGGTTGTTTCTGACCCTTTTTTGTGGGTCCCCACTGGAAGATGCTTTATATTTGTGGCAGGCTTTGGGGCCTTGCTCTGGGCCAATCCCGTTTGAATGGAGTTTTACCCACGAGGGGTCGGGTAACTTTGGGTGCTTGATTTAGAAACTAAATTCTTTGCCTTTCCTGTATTGTTTCCTAGTTGTATTAAAGTTCCTTCCCATTAAAGTCTCATATGTTTTGTATTGATGCAGCGGATGGCAAAACCCATTTAGAATAGGCAGGTTTGCTGGGTTTGGGCTGCCCCTCTCCCTGCCCTGTAACATAAGTACTTACTACATTTAAAAAAATTTGAGGGCTAACGGACATCCTAAAATGCACTTGATGAGTTTTTTTTTTTTTTTTACAAATATAGACAACTGTAAGCACTGTTCACCACAAGATACAGACCACAAAGAGTACCCCACTAGTTTCCCTTGTGTACTGTTTCAGTCTCTAGTGCCCCAGAAGTAAACCAAATATTCTGACTCACATAAAAACTATCCATTAGCTTTACTATAAATTTCAAAAGGAACAAACGAGAACGCTAAAGGGATTTTAACTGGAAACTGCTTTCCTACAATCGTGTCAATTTGCACAAGTAAGCATAAATGCCAATCACTTGGCGCCAAAAACCTGACACAGAGTTTTAATCAGTTTCCCGTCAGGGCCTCACTTTCTACACCACGCCCCTTTTGGCTCGTTTCCGCCCTAGCAACACTGGGGTCAGAAAAAGACCGCTTTTCTGTCATGCGCACTAGAGATAAGCGCGTTTCCCTCTCCCTCCTCAGCCAACCCTTCAGGACTTGGCCGCGTCAGGCGCACTGCGCGCGCACTGCCAGTCCTCTAGGCGCGCGCGCCTCGCCCGTCCGCCGCGCGCATGCGCAGATCTGCTAGCGAGGGCGGAAGTGAGCAGCTGCTGCGCCGAGGTGGGGGCCGCAGCTCTCGCTGTGGGGTGGGCGAGCGGCCGACATGGCGCTCTCCGGGAGTCTCGTGGCTCCGCTGGCAGCCCTGGTGGTGCTGCTTTGGGGGGCCTCGTGTACCCACGGGCGGCGGAGCGACGTGCGCATCATCACTGACGAGAACTGGAAAGAGTTGTTGGAAGGGGAGTGGATGATAGAATTGTGAGTGCGGGGCGGGTGTCTCGGGGCTCTTCCCTCGGCCGCTGTGGGGCCGGGGACCCTCACCCGAGTTGGGACTGTCATTCACCTCTGCGCCCCTTCATTGCCTGGGACGGCGAGTCCCAGCCGCGGCGCGGGCGCCCCCCACTCTTCCTGATCCCCAAACTCCTCTTCGGATCAGCCTCTATTCTTACCAGGGAATATGAAGTTTCTTCTAAACTGTGCACCCTAGTTTCTCTTCTAGGGCCGTGGTGCTGCCTGTGCAGTTACTTGTTTTAGATTGATTCTTCTCAAACAGACTTCCAGACTTACATCAAACTTTGCAAACGAGGAAATCGAGCAGTCTCTTTTTTTGTATAATTATCCTTAAAAGGTAGCCTGAATGTAGTGTTGGAATTTGGGACTCTGTCTTAAATTTTATATTCTGCACAGGTTGTGCTTTTTTTTTTTTTTTAATGGTAAGTTCAAGTTGGGTTATTGTAAATCTTCGTTCCCCTCATTACAGTTTCACTGCTTTTATCCTTCTCATTTTTCTTTTGGGTGTGTGTTTTTACAACGGTCTGGATGTCCTGGGTTGTGACTCTTAATGCCTCTCAAAGTGGTATTGCATCAAAAGGTGAAATTAATGTATGAGTGTGCATATAAACTCCTAAAAGCACCAGGTCATCGTTTATTGTTCGAAGAAAATGATATGTCTTGTGATCCCTTTATAATAATGTCGCTTCTGCATCTGTAGAAAAAAACCATCTGCCTTTAACTTTAGGTGCTAAGTTGGTGGTGGCAGCGGTGGCGGTAGTGATAATAAGTGATGTTTAAGACATTAGTAAAAATGCACCTTAACTAAATGTTAGCTGTGTATTAATTAGACTCTGCTAAGCACTAGGCATCATATACTGTCATATTTCACCCTCTACAAGTTCTTTAAGATGGGTAGTATTTCCTGTGTTTTACAGTGAGAAACAGATCTTTTCAGGTGTTGATATACTGGCTTCCTTTTGGTCTTTTGTTAGGTTAGACCCTAACAGTGAGCATGCAGTTATTGTTAGAATAACCTAGAGTGAATGTTTTCCTGTGTCTTTGGACTGTCAGTTAAGGTGTCAGGTGGAGTGGATATTCCCAAGGAAGAACTCAGAAGGCTAAAGTAGTGATTCTTGAGTCATAAATTTCAAAAAAGACAGAGTATTTATACATGGAGAATAAGATAGGGGAAAATGTTTATGCACCATTGTTAACTGCAGGGGAGAAGAAATATAACCAATGACAGCATTTGTTTTTGTTATTTTTTTTTTGTTTTTCTTTGTCATGAGTAACTTGTTTTCAATCGAACCCATGAAATAATTCAGTTTCTTAGTGTGTTAAACAATAGTGATTATAAATTTTTATGCAAAGTACAATAAAATTTTTCTCACAGAGTAAAAACTGCATCTGTCAAAATTGAAATATTGAGGAATTCAAATTAAAGCATCTGTGTGAAGTTAGGGTATATGGTTAGAAGTTTTTCTCCTTAGCCTATGGATCCTGAGGTGGTCTTTAAAACTAAAACACAGCTGAGAAACAAAAGGAACTTGAAAAAGGGGATCTACCTAATAATAGTTTGCTTTTAATTACAAATCTGTTGTCTACATTAAAGCCATTTTGATCAGACTTTTTTTACATACATATTTTCATTGCAGTACAATTTATTGTTAAGGATTTTAGCTTTGTTTTACAAGGCCCAATACTTTTAAAAAATTTTGCTTTCATAAAACAAGTGAAGAAAATATAATGAAGTGCAAAAACTGTTCTCTGGGTCTTAAAAGGTATTGCCTTTATTCTTGGTTCCATGAAAAAACAGAGCAAATTATAAGATAATATACAATAAAGAGGGGAAAATCAGGACCTTGGAAGATGCTGAATATCAGAGGAATAATTAAGATAACATGTGTGGCCTTAGGTTTATAAACCCACGGTTTTAAAAATTGGCTGACCAGCGATAGGCTAAAAGAATTTTGTATGGCCTCTTTGTGTTCTGTGGATTAAATTTTGGGGTAATACTTTAATGTAATAATGTAGAATTTTTAGTTTCTTTTAAAGTAAGAATAACCTTGTCATACTGGACCAATAATTGACAGGCAACCTTACTTAGTTGTGGGTCCCTTTTTAAGGCAGGGGCTTGTGTTTCCTTATTCTCACAGCTCTAGGTACTTCCCATTTTTCTCTTATTGGCACCATGGGTTTATGACTCCTGCAGTGTAAAATTATTAAATCTGGTGAACCCCAGATTTGACTTTGAGCTTTATAATTGCCACATTTTAATAGAGAAATCCAAAGGATTTTAAAGACCTGTTTGCATGTAAAAAAGCATATCTGAACTTATTTTCAGAATTACTTTTTCATGATTAACTCATTGTTCTTGATTTCCATGTTAAGGTCACACTTAAAATGACATCTTCACAAAGTTAGTCTCATTACTATCTTATTTTTAGTATAAAATACTCTTCACAAAGTATTTGCTGTAGAATTTTGATCCAAATGTGGTCATGTTAGAGTGCTTAACTTTTTTTTTTTTAATTGTATCTTAGTTACGCGCCCTGGTGTCCTGCTTGTCAGAATCTTCAACCAGAATGGGAAAGTTTTGCTGAGTGGGGAGAAGATCTTGAGGTCAATGTTGCCAAAGTAGATGTCACAGAACAGCCAGGTACTATAAGTCAATGGTTAGTTTTGTTTCTCTTGCAAATTGGATGGTACTTCTCCTGTTTTCTACAGTACCTTTCATTAGATTTTGAAAACAGAATTGTCTTCAGCCTACTTACCCAACTCCCTGATGGGGACTTAGTTTGCAGTGGCTGCAAAAGGCAAACTCCTTGGTTGCATATGCAGCTCATTGTATGTGTTGGGGTGAAGCATCTTGGAAATACTGTGTCTTACCTCCCCCACCTTTCCTGTATAACTGCATCTGATTTGTTTTCCTTGGTGCCTTAGGCCCCAGACAAAAATGCCTCTGAGAAGTCTTAGAACACTGTGCTCCAGTTGGACATTGGCCAAACCATCATTTGCATCCATATCAAGCTTCAGAATAAGGAGCTTGTAGTTGAGGTTCTTTGTGGAGTCCAGGTCACATTTCCTGGCAAGTGATATGAATTTCTATAATTGGGTACCTAATATTATACCTATGATTTGAGACATGGGCTCTTAATTACAAAATTGCCAGGGTTGTGTGGTCAAGTATGCTCTTGACTTGGCCACCTGTGCCCATGGCAGAACCTGCTCTTAAGGATGCTGCTTTTTCAGACCAGCCTCATCTTAACTACTTTTGGTTACAGTGAACGTGGCTTCTTGACTCTGCCACCATTCCAAATGGTAATAATAGCAAATATTTATCAAGCATTTAGCTATTAGAGGTACCATTCCAGGTATTTTCATTTATTATTTAATCCTTATACAAACTTATAGGTAATATCTCCATTTTACAGATAAGAAAACTGAGGTATACATTAACCCTTATTTATATTAGTGCTTGGGATAATAATAATGCCAGCTGCTATAGTTACTACCCATCTTATAAAAACTTATAGTATTTTCCTTTTTAGCAATATCTTAAACTGTCTTTGTTTGCTGGATGCAATGTTTGATTTGCTGTATCAGACCTTTTTAAGATTGTTATATTGTGCTATTCCATGATTCATCATTAGTAGTCTTAATCAAGCAGTGGTCTATAATGGATGTATGTGTGCATACATACACACACAAAACATCTTCTTTATTCAAACTGTTACACTTTTTAGTTGAGACAATGTGCAGTAGTATTTTCTAAGTTGCTTTTAAGTATACAATTGATTTTTTTTTTTAATCACTGTAGGACTGAGTGGACGATTTATCATAACTGCTCTTCCTACTATTTATCAGTAAGTATGTGAAGATTCTGTCCTTAAGAAGAAGGATGCATCAGACTATAATCACAGTAGTTGGCATCTGGCCTAGTAAATAATTAAACAGCATTGTTTTGGGCAAGTATATTGGAAGGCTAACTGAGGTGCCTTTAAATATGTGAATGGTGTATGAAACCTGTGATCTCAGGGATTCATTGTTTTTGAAATGATAAAATATTATTCAGCATAATAAATGATTATGAGGCTAGAGTTGTAATTCCTGTGGGAAGTTTAATAAGGGAAACATCCCTGTGAGCTGGAGTGGTTCCTGGAGAACAGTGGGTTTCAGGTAGAGTTTTGGAGGTAGAATTTCCTATGGAGTGCAGAGTAAGCCTTGATCCTGAGGATAACCTCATAAACAGTCATAAGTAAGAATTTGGCATATTCAAAAAAATAGCTGAGAAAGTGCTATAGCTCAGTCTTAGGAGAGAGGAGAGGGTGTCATGGTTATGTCTTAAGTCAGAATGAACAAGATTAGTCTTCAGTATCAGGTCTTTTAGTTTTACTTTATCTTCTAAACTGAAAATAGGAATTTTCAAATCTGTACCTGTCCTGTACCTTAGTAACTCCTAGCTGGTAGATTAAATGTCAGGAATTACTTTTCTCATTTAAAATTTTGAAAATAAATTTGAAGTTCTTTGTATCTTACCCCTCTTTGTCACCTTTTCTCCCTCCCCTATTTTTGTATCTTTCTCTCTGGCTTTTCCCTCTTCTCCCTTGTATCCATTTAAATGTCAATTTTTTTGTCTCCCTAAGTGTTTCTTGCCCCTAATCTAACTCTAGTCTCTGCCTTTCATTTCTACTTCTAAACACCCCTGAACTTTTCTGGAATTTCCTGTCCTTTTTCTTGTAGTCACATTGTTAATCTTGCTCATTCCCCTAATTTCTTCTGTTGAAATTCCACCCAGCCTCAAAGAAACCTCAAATGCCATTTTCTACACAAAATTAATATTTATTTATTTAGTTATTTATTTTTAAAGATTTATTTGTTTATTTATACAAGCACTGGGTACAGTCAGAAGCACGGGAGGGTGAGAGAATTCACCAGAGCCAGAGCAGGGAACAGAGCAAGCAGACTGACGAAATACACTGCTGAGGGGAGCAGCGGGCGGCAGGAGAGGTATGCGGCCATGTGGGACCCTCGCCAGTGGGCGGGGAACGAACCTGTGCTGCAGAGGCTGCGGGCAGCTTCGCAACCTAGCACTCAACTGCTGCGCCACCAGGGGAGGCCCACAAAATTAATTTTTAATTGCATGCTGCTTTGTGGTTTTTAACTCTGAATGGACAGGGAGCCACTAGCCCTACTGTAGATAATAGTGGGCTATTGAAAGTTTTTGAAGTGTAATTTAAGTGAGATTGATTGGCAGTGTTTAAGGTGTGTAGTTTGCAAAAGGTGAAGATGTAGAGCAGGGAGAACACTTATGGTTTTATGACCAAGCTCTGTGACCGAGCTCCGTATAGTGGGGATGGGAGGGAGGAGGTGGATGTCAGGAAGAATGCAAAGCAGACCATAAAGTAGAATTACTGCAGTGATAGGAAGGGAAGGACTGTACCAGATGCCTCCAGCAATTCTAAGTGTGATGATGGAGATGATGTGATTCTGACTGGAAATACCAGAAAAACTGCTTTAAATTTTTAACCAATACCTTAACAGTAGCTAATAATAAGTGGCCAAACATTTCAACAATCTTTCATGCTTTCCTTTAGTATTACATACACATAAGTTTTTTTTTTCATTTTAACTTTTATCATTTTTTAAAATTTTTTAGACAATATTTGCTTCCCTCCATCCCCTCAGATTGAGTCCCCATAGAATTTCCTTCCCCAAGGCACCCATGCACCATCACCACTGTCCCCTGTGCTCCTCCCTCCCTCCCTCTGATCCCTCTCCCTCCCTTGCAGGATGTTTCTGGTTTATAATTGTTTCTGGTTTATAATTTTTGCGTTGTTGTGTTTTGTACTGTTATTATTATTTTTTTTACACTAATGTCTAATTTGGTTCCCCTATATTCCTGTTATAAGTAAAACCATCCGATATTTTTCTTTTTCCTTCTGGCTTATTTCACTGAGCATAATTCCTTCTAGCTCCATCCATGTTGCTGCAAATGGCATGAGTTTATCTTTTCTGATTGCTGAATAATATTCCATTGTGTATATATGTACCACATCTTCTTGATCCAGTCATCTATTTTTGGGCATTTGGGTTGTTTCCAGGTTTTACCTATTATCAATAGTGCTGCATAATATTATATATACATAAGCCTTAAAGTGATTTTCTGAGCTTTATCAGTACTGTGTTCTCTCTCCTAGCCACCCAAGTTTTGAGAGAAAATTGACATACAGCTACTTACTATGTTTCATGGTTTTATTATTTAGAGGAGTAACAATAAGTCTTAAGGTTTATGGCTTAAAATATCTCATTTAATTTGTGGCTGAGATATCATGAGTAACAGTATAGTGTGCTACTTGTGCATTACTAATGATTTTGAAAGTTAGGATTGACTGTAAAAAGATTAAAGAAATAGAATAGGGCCACCCCGGTGGTGCAGGGGTTGAGCGCTGGGCTGTGAAGCTGCCCGCAGCCTCTGCAGCGCTGGTTCGATCCCCGGCCACCAGCGAGGGTCCCACATGGTGCACAGACTTCTCCTGTCTCACCTGCTGCTCCCCTCAGCAGTGTATTTCGTCAGTCTGCCTGTTCTGTTCCCCACTTTGGCTCTGGTGAATCTCTCACCCTCCCATGCTTCTGACTGTACCCAGTGCTTGTATAAATAAAATAAATCTTAAAAAAAAAATAGCAGAATAAATGCAAAGTTTATTTACTTGGTGCTGGTTAATATTTAGTTCTAACCTTCTTTAGTTGTAAAGATGGTGAATTCAGGCGCTATCAGGGACCAAGGACTAAGAAGGACTTCATAAACTACATAAGTGAAAAAGAATGGAAGAATATTGAACCAGTTTCAACATGGTTTGGTCCAGGTTCTATTCTGTAAGTATGAGGGATTTTTATCTTGCTTATTTCTGAATTAATTGCAATAAAGATTTATTTCATATAAGAAAGCATTCATACTCAGTTTATATCTTGGACTCTTAAGGTATAGTCACATTTACTATGATTTTTTTTAGTTTGACTTTATTTTCTAAATCAAACTTTTATCCTTGTTACTTGTTAAGATAGGAGCCATTTTATAGAACTTGAATGCAAATTCAGGAATGTTTCAGCTTTGTAGATATGGTCATTGGTATCATCAAAAACTAAATAAATCTTCTAAGAATATGAGCAATGTAATGTGTAAAGCAGTCATTTGAACTGATTTTGAATGAGAAGTCTCAATAATACACTTATCCATGCTACCTTTAGATTTTAGTTGTTGATATAATGTGATTGAGTTATGTTTAGTTGGCTATTCTACCTGCCCGATAACTGTGTATGAGTAACACGGATGAAGAGTGACCTTAGTAATGGCATGATTTAACTCTGAGCATTATACATAGCTAAAGGATAGATACATTTCTCCATACCAGCTTAATATGGAGCAGTAAGAATTAGAGTTAGCAAGCATGCTTCCTTTCACATTGTTGGGGGGGCACCAGACTTCATGGATCATTTGAGAGGCCTCTGGCCTCATCCTGGTGTGGCTACGCTAACTCTTCTGTCTCCTTGCCACTCTTGCCCTTGGAGGACACAGAATTCTGAGAGTCATGACTCTGGATTCTGAGAGTCATGAAAAGATCAACTCTAAGCAGTGTTTTGAAAGAAAAGTTTAACACCTTTCCGTTATGCCTTCTTTCTTGAGAAAGCCTCTGAATTGAATTGTTTCTTAGCTGTGAGGATTTCCCTACTAAACCACCATGCCCAACTTCAAGTACCTACAATTCCTCATAGTCTAGTTAGTGCACCCTACAGAGAGACTACACAGTGCTCTAGGTTTTGATTCCCTGATTCTACTCCCATTTTGCCTTTTAAACAACAGAAACAATGTGATTAAAGTATCTTTCTTTGTTGAACTGAAAATATAATTGATGTTTGTTCTTTGAAATCTAATCTTATCTCAGAAGTGAATCTTAACCTCTGGGGTCTTATACATAAGGGGGTTGCTCATAAATCTTGTTTGAATCCTCAGAGCAGCAATCTATACCTTTTTTTTTTTTTTTTTTTTTTTTTTTGCCATTTGGAGTACTGATTGAAGGGCAACCCAATGTCAGCTCAGGAAATTTGAGACCCACCCAAATGGCTGAAAACAGAATAAGGACATCATGCATACAGAAACTTTGGCTAATGTGTGAATTGATTTATGTACTGATGGCAACACCAGTAACAACACTTCTGCTACAGGGAAAATAGTTGGTAATTGGCAGACCTATCTTATTTCTTGAACATTCCTTTTTTCTGACTACCCATGTAAATAAACTACTTGGGTTTTGTAAAACGAATTTTTACTTATGTTATCAAACTAATGTTATTGTAGGCTTTATTTAATTTTAGTAATGGGATATAATTGTTACATGGGCAGGATGGGCTCAGCAGGTGCTCTTAGTTCTTCCTTTTGGCTCCCATCTCTGCTTATTCTTGGGAGCATCTTAAGGGTGAACAAAAGTTGGAATTTGCTTATAGTATTCCTAACTTTTTTCAACTGGTTCCATTGAGCTTGTTACCTGTTACTCAGGGTTTATTGGAGAAATTGACAGATGTAAGGTTTACCTTGTGATTAAGGAGAAAACGGAAAAGAAAGTAGCAAATATTTTAACATAATGGCAACAATCCAGAATGAGCTCTGATTGATTTTCAATGATCTCTCTTTTACTTTAGGATGAGTAGTATGTCAGCACTCTTTCAGCTGTCTATGTGGATCAGGGTATGACCTAAAATTTTATTTCTGTTTTAAATATTTTTAACATTCACCTGTTTTTAAGCAACCAGTTTCTTAGCTCATGTTTTTCTTTTAATTTTAGACTTGCCATAACTATTTTATTGAAGACCTTGGATTACCAGTTTGGGGATCATATGCCGTTTTTGCTTTAGCAACTCTGCTTTCAGGATTATTATTAGGACTTGTAAGTACTTCATTTTCAGAGTACTAGAAAGAATATTTCAAAATTTGATAGTAGAATTGCACTAGCTATATCATACATTGTACATTCATATTTCTTATGTTTATTTTTTGCAGTGTATGATATTTGTAGCAGATTGCCTTTGTCCTTCAAAAAGGCGCAGACCCCAACCCTACCCTTCCAGTAAGTATATTTTAAAATGTTTATTTTTATTCATCATAATCCATTCATTTCTGTAAACACAACCACATTTAATGGGATGCCCTTCTAGCTTAGGTCACTAAATATGAGGTGGTAATTTTTATCAAAATGGAGAGGGTGAAATATATTTCATGTAAGAAAAACATCCAGTAGATTTTGGAACATAGTTACTTTCTTGGCTTTTATAATATGGAGAATTTTAATAATGTTGATTGGCTGTCAGTTTTTATTGGCCAATTTATTTGGACATTCCATGATTTTCATGGATTCATTTGAATACACATTTGAATAAAATAAAAAAAGTTTTATTTTCTGGTCTTGAATTTATTCATTAGTACAGTGAGCACATTCAAAGATTTTTCTTATTGTAAATGGGAGGATATTGGAAAATACTCCAGTGACTGATTTAGGATTGGCATTAACACTGTACTTTACTACAAGATGACTTTATATCATTAGAAGCATTTGCTGCTGTCTGCATATAATTCCCTACCAGTCATTTATTTTTCATACTGAAAACTATGCCATTATGGATGGCTTCCTGTTTGCAGTTTGTAAAAAACTTTGACTTTTTGTAATGCTGTTTGCTTTTCAGCAACTATCTAAGGTGGACTGCATATGTGATACTATTCCCATTTTGTCCTTGAGGAAACAAGGTTCAGAAAGATAAAGTATTTTCCAAGGTTATACTGAAAGAAGAGTGCTGAGAGTAGAATCTAAATCAGACTCTTGGCCTGACAGTTTCTCTGATTGTGATACCTGTTATGACTTTGTATTTACTGAGGTCAAAACTCTTGGAGTGATACCTGTGGAGATGGCATTTATAGTGTATCTTGTCTGTTGACTAATTGACACATTGTTTTGCTACTAAAAAGGATGTGTGGATCATTTTTATGTAGGATATAGGATCTCTATAAGGGGAAAATGTAGATTACTTTAAAAGCAATGTAATGAATGTAAAAGCAAGCAATGGATATGTGTACACATATTCAGAAGTTCATTGTCCTTACAATTGATACCTTTATTATTTGTGATTACATCTTAAGAAAATTTTATATGTGGATTAGGGGAAGCACATTTATGATACCAGTTGAAAATAAAACATCGATAGGAATATAACTTTTAGTTTGAAAAGTCTAATTTCCATTTGGGAACTGAATAGAGGGTAGTGTTGAAGTTTGTTACCTAGAGGATTTAAGAGAAAGTTAATATATGATTATATTTAATGGAGTATATTTTCTTACAACTGCCTTATTCACAGCATTAATTTTAGTTCAGTTTATAAATAAGTGGTTAATTAGAATGAATTTAGTAAGTAAATGGGTCTTCCAAACCAATTTTTATTTATTTATTTTTTTTACAATTTTTATTTTTACAATATCATTTATTCTTGGTAATCTTTTCCTTTTGGAAATCCAAACTCATGATCCAAACTAACAACAAAAAACTCATTTCCATTCTTTATCTTTAAGAAAAAATATTACCAGAATCTTCTCAACCTTTGAAAAAAGTGGAGGAAGAACAAGAGGCTGATGATGAAGATGTTTCAGAAGAGGAAACTGAAAATAAAGAAGGAATAAAGAAAGACTTTCCCCAGAATGCCATAAGACAACGTTCTGTGGGTTCTTCATTAGCCACAGATAAATCCTAGTTAATTTTTATAAATAACTTAATATGATTTTGACAGAAATAGAAGATTTATCATTTCTTTTGGTTTGAAGTGAACTGTGACTTGCTTGTGCATTGCAGAGTTCAGTCTAGATGTCATTTGATTGAACAGTCTGCTTTTAGAAAATAAAAGCACCACCTAAAAATGTTGGAAGTAGGATTTAAGTACAGTATAGTGATTTAAACCTTTAATTTTTGAAAATCTGGTGCCAAGCAATAAGATTTGTGTATGTTTGTTTTATAATCTGTTTCAAGTTTGAATTGAAAAATTTCATTTCCCAAGTATTGCATTATCGAGATATTTAAGGAGATTATTTTAGAGAAAAGGATTTCTCATATGATATAATTTTCTCAGTTTCACTGTGTGAAAAAGACATTTCCCATAAATGGGAGCTTTTCCCATTGTTTCAAGAAATGTGTATTTCAATAACAACTCTGTGGTCCTTTTAGAAATATAGTAAAAGTTTCCTTATTTTTAGATTATGTAACTAATTAAAAACTATCTTTAATTAGTTTTCTACACATGCTAATGCTAATACATGCTCTACTGTAGGATGTGCTACTGATTTAGGAAGTTTTTGTAAGTTCATGGTGTTGTCTTGATTCCTCTAAAGGTTGGTTGCCTGCCTTCTATGCTGAGTGTATGGTTTGTGTTTTTCTTACTTATAATGGGTTGTAGTTTTCATTTTCTAATTTAGATAATTTCCTGGAAATACATTCATATTTTAATAAATAGTATTTTTTGTTTGTTTCTTTCAAACTGAGGTTTACTTGAGGGATCCTTAAAATCAAAGAGCTGTCACTGATAATTTGAAATTTTGGCCCCTGTTTCAGATTTTCTGTCATTCTTGTTGAAGCGCTACTTGAACTTTTTCATTTTTATTTCTGACTATGAAGACAGGACATTCCTGATTTTTTTAATTTGATGTGAAAAAGCGTTTGTTGTTATTTTACATTTTGGAAATGCACAGAAGTTTAATTTGATATAAAATAAACTGCATTCTACTCAGGAAAAAGTATCTTAAGAGTATATGTATTCAATATATATTAACGTATATAGAAAGTTCTTAATTGATTTTACAAAGTCAGTGTGTGCTTGATGTTTTAAAATCATATTCTTATGTTTTTGAAAAGAAACTCCATGTTCTGTTGTGCTTCCTGTTGTGTGGTACTTCATAGGTATAATCAGCAGGATGGGACATTTAATATTTTTGCTCCTTAATGAGTTAGAGTACTGAGTTTATATGTTACAGCAAAGAAAGGGAGATTGGGCAATAGAGAACTGTATTAGCTATTAGGAGGGGAAACCCATAAATATACATAATGAATCACCTGCCTATTATGTAGTCTACAATATCTTTAACGTGTCCCATTTTGTCTAGATTTTGCTGCTGTGTGAATTCATTAGACTTAACAGTATCATAATGTACAACAGTTTTAAAGACCTCTCCTTTAGAATATTAAATATTCTACCATTGAAGAAGAGTTTGGATGTGTAATAATTTTGTGATGCTTTAGAAGAAATATCTTAAGCACAAAATAAATTTTTCTAAGCACTTCACTAAAGCTGAAGCCAAGGGTGATTTCTAGTTGCATATTTATAAATGACTATTTTGTATTTAACAATGTTCAAGTTAATAGATATCACCATATGTGTTCTTGGTCTGTAGTCAAAAGGCTAGAGTAAAACACATTTTCTGACTGAAGAAAATAGTCCTCATTGATTATGCGTTCTACTGTGTGTGGTATTCTAGTCCACATGACATTATAAATTTCAAGTTTTTAAGTAGAAAATACAGAAAATGTAAAAGGCTGAGCAGGTGAAGATTTGATGTTTCAAAAACCATGGTTACACTTTTTTTCAGACTTGTTACTGTGGATATCTGAATAATCAATTTTCTGCCATAGCACAGACAGAAAAGGTATGGAATCATTTTATCATTGGCAGACCACTCTTTTTCCCTTATTGGTTTTATGGGGCTTAATCTGGCAGCTTAGCTACAATTAATTTAGGAGGAAATAAGGTACTGTGTGAAAGCATCCTGGAGAACTCTTGCCCACAGCCCTCTCCACAGTCATTCAGCTCTGCTACTGAATTATGTAAAATCTGGTCATTACCCTGAGAAATGCAGTGTGCTACCACATGTTACTAACTGCTTACTCAGAAGTCCAAAACTTCACGAAGATTCCTGTGCATCTATGTCATAACAGCTGCCATTCACTAGCTACCTGTTAGGTTTTCCTGTATTCATTTTGTCCTAACTGTAATGTAAGTGTTCACAACTTTCAGGCAAATAGGCAGAACTGGGACACAAATGGGTATAATTTCAGTCCAGTTCTGATTTCAAATTTTGTGTTTTTTATTCAGTATGAGTACTGAAAATTCATTAATATGTATATTAACTAGGCTATGCTTTCACTCCTATCTGAGTATCATGACAAATACTATTCAGAAATACCAGTATTCAGCATTTGCTGTTGTGTGATGTTGCATGCTTCTTTTTTTTATTTTTAAAGATTTTTTTTTTTATTTATTTATACAAGAACCGGGGTACAGGCCAGAGGCGTGGGAGGGTGAGAGGATTCACCAGAGATAAAGTGGGGAGCGGGGAGCAGAACAGGCAGATGGACTGAAATACACTGCTGAGGGGAGCAAGTGGGCATGACAGGAGAGGTCTGCTGTGCCATGTGGGTTTCTCCCTGGCTGGCCGGGAATCGAACCTGTGCTGCAGAGGCTGCGGACAGCTTCTCAGCGTTGTGCTCAACCCGCTGCGCCACCGGGGAGGCCCATGTTGCCTACTTCTTAAGAATCAAGGTTATTGCAGTAAATGGTGCTTTCTTAAAGTGAACAAATACTTCTGTCTTTCACATATTTCATAGAGAAATATCCTTGCCCTATTTACATCTGCAAGCTAGTGCTCCCTGACATCACATGCAACAACTGCACATGTCTGATGCCCCTTTGCAAATGCAGCCCTGGGTATGCTTGACTCAGTCCAAGGACAGCAATAGCAACAACTCTTGCAGAGGTGCATTTGACCTCAGAGTAAATGATAATATTAAAGCAGTTTTTTCTCAAATCACTTGTGTTCTTGTTCAACCCAGTGCATTAAAGGCATAGTTCTAAGCTTTATGATGAAATTAACATTTTTGGATGAATATTTTAATTCAGGGTTATCATAGCTTAAGGTAGAATTATTTTAATAAGTTACTAATTTCCCCCAGTTTTATTGAGATATGATTGCTAATTACTTTTGATTTAGCTCTTTTATTAATAAGAATTGATTTGAAATAGAATTTAAATGTGGTTTTTACTGAAAAAATTGCATAATCTAAAAGTAAAATTTTAAATTGTGTATCTTACCTGTGTATTTAAATATATTGGAATTGCATATTTAACAACTTTAGTGTTTGTTTTGAAGCCATTAATGCTAAAGTATAAATTGGAAGTTTGATTAAGTTGTACAGTCAAACTATATACTTGGACAGATTCAAAATATCCCCTTTTAAAATGAGTGCTTGTTTTTAATTAATTGCAAGATATAATATCAGTATTGTGGTCAGTAATGAAAGCAGCTTGTGCCTCCTTTCTGCTCATTTGCTGTGTGTGGCATTACTTTTAAGCCTCTTTTCATTGAGATATCACAAGTCAGGCTGATTGTATCCTTATAATGAGAACACAAGAAATGAAAATAATTTCAGTTGATCAAATGGAGATTTGATTTATCTGAACCTTGTTTTAAATCTCAGAGTTTTAAGTTCAGTGAAAATATATTTCACTTTGAGGAATAACTTATGTTAGTAGTTTTTAAAATTTCCTAGTTTCAGTTTTTTAATAAGGCATATCACAGAAATGAGTTTGCTAATAGATTGAAATACATACTCAGGTAATTTAGGAAGATTCAACATATTACTACTTGCTATTCCTAAGAACTTTTTCTAAACTTAGATATCTCTGTTTCCACAAAATCAAGTATCTACTTGGTTGGAAAATTTAAATGCTTTGAGCTGTATTTTCCCTGCCCAACCCAAATAATATTCCTGAAACTGCTAAAATAATAAAAAATTCCATGAGTCTGCCTCATATGCCATTTGATGGTTCAGGAGTTCATTCAAATCCTATAAGTCCTTCATTGACCCACACTCATTTTTCTCATAGTGTGGTTTTTATCAGTCTCCAATTGCATTGTGTCTTGTAATATTATATTTATTATACCAATTACTTTACTTACATTGAGCAAATTGTAATACTTTTTTTTTTAAGATTTTTAAAAAAAATTTATTTATACAAGCACCGGGGTACAGGCCAGAGGCACAGGAGGGTGAGAGAATTCACCAGAGACAGCAGGGAGCAGAACAGCAGAAGGACCAAAATACACTGCTGAGGGGAGCAGTGGGCGAGACAGGAGAGGTCTGCCACGCCATGTGGGAATCTCCCTGGCTGGCCAGGAATTGAACCAGTGCTGCAGAGGCTGCAGACAGCTTCACAGTGCTGCATTCAACCCGCTGCGCCACTGGGGAGGCCTGTAATATATCTTCTAAGCTGTAATTTATGAGTAAAATGGTTTCTACCTTGAACAAGATGATCATTGCAGTCTTGTCTCCAAAATCTGCTTGTCAACTCCTTGAGGCCTGAAACTCTGAGACAAACCATAGTGTTGTGGGGGGACTCTGGGCCGAGATCAGGAGACCTGGCTTCATATGTTGTCTCTTCTACTGAGTAGGAATGTGACTGTCATCTGTCTGGGCATTGATTTTCATATTTGTGAAACAAAATGGGTCAGTTCGCAGTAATTTGGCCATTAGTCTGCTAAGATGGAGCAGAAAAGGCCAAGACTAGCCTGCCTTTACTACATAGTAAACCTGTTTACTCTAGCTTTCTTATCCCTGACCGTAGAACTCAGAATTTAAGTTCTCTGTGCGCTTCTGGGGATGCTGTCTCCATCCTTACTACGGGTGAGTTTTGATAATTCAGACACACAGTAATCTAATCCAGCCACGGACATAGTCAGTGAATAGGCCAATTGAGCCGGTGAAGAAATGGGGGTTTCTGGTAAGAGCTCTTTTTGTAAAAGTGTGGCTCAGAAGAGACAGTTTGGAGTTTGCCATTATCTGATATGATTCCTAGGATTTTGTGGCCATTGCCAGCCTGAGGATGAAATCAGTAGGCAGGGCAGAACTGAGAGAATCTCAGAAAAGCAAAGCTAGAGCTCTGACACTGGAATCTACCTCTACCTCTGGACATCTTATATGAGGCGGTTTTCCTTATACAGGCTTTCAGTTACTTGGAACGAGAATATCAGCACAGCTGTAACCTCTGAATTTTGTGAACAGTGGTATCTCGATTTGCTTCACCCAGCTTAGTTCCACATCGATTTTATTACCCGAGAGTGCTCACTCTTAGATGTGGTGTACTTCTCTCACCGTGACTTCCAAAGGTCAGTAAAAATGTTAATTTTTATATATGTGATGGAAATGAATTCTTGGGTCACATCAGACATGTACACAAACCTATACAGTAATACAAGCTTAAAAGAATATTGTTTACCTTTTCAGGAACTATTTAATTGTTATTATTGCTCATATTATGCCAATGTTATGATCTGTAAGCGATAGAAATGAAATCCTAGAAGCTAAAACTGGTGTGTATTGGTTTCAAGTGCAGCTGTTCAGTGTGAAATCAGATTTTGAACCTAGAACAGATTTTTTTTGGCTTTTAAATTCCTCTCATTCAGATTTTGTGTTTAGTTAGCAAGTATCTTTGCAATTTTTCACATAGTAATTTGAGTCTTCTACAGAGAATGGCAGCAACTTGGATATTCTCCTTATTTTGAAAGTTCTAGTTATGCCACTTTGCGTTTACCGAAGATTTAAGTTAGTGCTTGTTTTCACTAACAGAAAGAAATCTGAGATGGTTACTTGACAAAAGTTGAGAAGTGTTCAGCCTTTCTTTTGCAGCAGTTGTTTTAAAGACAGTGCACTCCGAGCAGCAAGAGCAGCACTGGCAAGCTCCTTCCAGGGAACTACCTCATAAGGCTATGTATGTATCATATCATTCCTGCTCTTGCTATAGGCCATGTATTTTAGGTTTTATGAGTTACTTTATGATTTGGTAGATTGCTTTTTGGATATGGGAATGCTCAAAATTTTTACCGCATGGATTAATGGTACTTGCTTCTTTGCTTTATACCATTTAATTATGAATTATTTCATAGAAATGGTTTACTTCTGGATCGTGGTGGAAACCTGTATAATTTTAAAGGTAGTGAGAAGTTATTTTGTCATTTTTTCCCCTTTGAGGAAGAGGAATGTTTGTATTGTTTGAAACATTAGTTTGATTATGAAGGGGCATATTCCAGTTGAGCAACCCTAGTGTTTGATAGACTTTAACTTGATTATGATTTGAACCATTTTGGAAGTGTTATTTTTGCCAACCTGTCAGGAATGTGATTGCTTTTTTTTTTTTTTTTTTGGTACAATCTTCAAGCTCCTTGTCAATGCATGTTTTGACACCTCATTGCTGGAGAAAGCAAAGTAGTAGTCACTTTGAGTTGCATACCACATGTAAGAACTTTCAGCTACTTTGTATGTATTCCAGTTGTTAAATGGGCCCAGCCTTTAAGCTGATTTTCAGTCTGTGGATACATAAATTTCATAAAATGATGTGCATTCTCGCCCTTGGATTTAAGTTCATGGAGAAATTGTAGGACACAAAAATATGCCAGT